CCTCTCAGTGAGTGATGTTGTTCCCACCAGGACTCGGACTCGGGAGCGACCGCTTCAAACACGAAAGCGTTATCCACTACGCCACCGGGTCACGATAGCCACTTCTTGTGCGACGAGTACAGTTTTTAGTATAAGGGTTTCTATATGATACCGTCATCGAGTTCCAAATAGGACGAAATGCGCATCCTAGATTCCACTGCTAGCCACGATCCATTCTTAAGCTGGGACTACATTAAAACTTACTTATACTTTTCGGTAACATATAAAACAATGTTTTAACTGTGCTATGTTTGGGAATGTGTGCTGTATCTGATTTCTAATCCATGGACCAAAGTGAAAGAGTCGCATTTGATCATTTACTGAACGACTTTAAGGCCCATCCTAGAAAGTACCAAATACACTACTCAGAGCTTCTTGTTTGGCTGAAAATGGGGTTTTTTCGTAAAATAAGAGAAACTGACTGATCATTTCAGTAGTTGTTTAGTTGTAATTTAGAGTTACTCAATTTACTGCTAAGTTTTTAAAATGCTACTAAATCCATACTCAATCCTTTCTAAGACGAACTAAATATCAGTCTTGTTAACTACAGGACTGTGAGAATGTAAATGCATGCAATCCTTTGGTATCACCTAGCGGAAGTCCATAGGCAGAAACCCGTAGGACTAGGCCTTATGCTTTTTGACACTCATAAGCCAGGCGTATCTGCAGGAATGGAAATGGTATTCTCTCGGTGATTTAAACCTGTATCTTTCAGGACTGAATTGAAAGACTTAATCACCAAGTTATTCAGGTCACGATTGCCTCTTGTAGGAGTGAATTACGGAAAAAGGGTTGGTCATGAATGAATGACCGATGTAGCTTCTAGTTCGTAGAATTCAGCAATGACCCAAGTGGTCGCAGTGGAAAACTTGATCGATAGACTAGACAGCAAAATGGACTACTCACTGGTGACCAACTAGCACGTACAATGTTATTTAATACAGTTCCTTTACTTCATCAATACGCCTGCTGATCAAACCTTATAGTATATATTTAATTGTTAGGTTAATCAAAGCTCATTAACAATAGATATTAAAATATGGAATTGTGACTTGTTCCACTTTTCACTGTGTACTGTTCCTATGTGAATGCCTTTGTCTATTTCAAGTAAGCTTATAGGCCTAAGACAAGTAAATATAATTGACAGATTATCTATAGAACCTGATATACCTGTACAACTTGGGCACTGTGGTAGGATATAATCCTATATGAGATTTATTTATTTGATTTATAACACACAGTAATACAGTATTATTTACTTGATGACCACTTTCGAGCATAAATTATAAACTTTTTTCAGCGTCACTAATAATTACACCCAGTATCAATCCAAGTGTGCCAAACCGTGGCTATTTCAGATAGTCCGAAAAATAATCACTGTGAAGCTCCCCCTCTCTAATGCAAGTAGATTAGGACTAGGAAAAGTTCCAACCGGGCAACCAGTGTAAGTACGATCAAAAGATAGTAATCCATCGCTAATTTACATTGTAGTTGGGCGAATTTCTTGGTGATTGATGTAAAATTAAGATCTGACCAGTGGTAAGGTCTCATGGCTCAGTGTTGAAAACCAAGTGGTCATTGGCTCGAATCCTGCCATTCCCCTTCAACCATCACCAAGTATCAATTGTTATAACGTTCAACTCCGTCTTTTAGAACTTTCTTGGGGACATACCAATTAACGTGACTTGAATTCATTTCAAATAAATGAGTCAAAAAGCACACTTCACGAAAGTGTGAATTATCCGAGTAATATACACCCAGTGGACAGATAAAACTATTCAACAAATGCAAAAATTGATCCAACCATTTGTTTTGTTAAGTGGATGTCAATAAATGCATCAAATAAAGTAATCTGTTTCATCTAAACTCTCATGGTAACTAAACAAAAACATTTACACTTGAAAATAATTCATTGATTTTATTCCAGGTTTCATATTTGATACGGTTATTATGTAATCCAAATTCTGTTTATGTGGAAGAGGCGGGTGAATACAATGTACTTTATAAGGTTTTTGCCATAGCATATAAAGTTTTGTACATCCCTAGGAATGAAATGAGATTTTCTTATAAAGTTGAGTAATATGACTAGATGATATATGAATAAGTTACACGAAGGGCTCTTCATATGTCCTTGGATAAACAAGTATTTAGACATTTTCAGTAAAGTTTACACAAAGACTATCTGCGTCCGAATAAACGCAAATAATTTATTTTGTTTCATCTCCGAAACTAATTAATGATTTTTCCAGTTGAGCAAAAACAATTACACCACTGTAGTTTCTTTATCAACGTTCCATTTTGAAGGTTGATTTCATATGAGACTAAAAGTATGCAACAAATAAATGACATTTTAATCAACCTTTTGCTATCTATTCCTAACGTATGAACTGAATTACCTAGAATTTTACCTCACAAATCTGATGTGGTTGTAGTTACACTAACAGTAACTTAATGTTATCTGTAAATAAAGGAACAGCTGATCACATTTCGATTGTCACGCTATTTTGCTATCAGTGGTGTGAAGTTGTTTCTAATTTACTAAGGTTATGCTAAAAAAGTGAATTGATTGGAAAGGAATTTTATTATTACTATTATTCTTATTTGTCCCTTGGGTTCCTAGTGGTACATAGGGCTTCAGTAGCACGTCACGATTTCACTCTGTTCTCTACGGTTTTTTGAACCTGGCTCCACGACTGCTCACGAGCTTTCATTTCTTCCTCACATGATCACTTCCATATCACCCGCGGAATCCCAGCCCATCGTTTCCCATGTGATTTCCACTTGAAGAACTTCCTTGGCGCGTGATTTCCCTAAACGGTCCTCTCAGGGTTTGTACAATCCAATCCATCTCCACTTTGTTTTGCATATTTATTGAGCGATATGTTCTTTGTTGGTTCGTTGCCAGGCCAGAATTCTTTGTGGCTTATTCATTCTGGCCATCTGATCTTCAGTAACCAGCGTAGGCAATTGTTAATGAATGTCTGCAGTTTATTGGAAATCCCTTTCGTAACGCATCAAGCCTCTGTAGCATCACATAGGAGCACTGACTTGATATTAGTGTTGAAAATTCGGATCTTGTTCTTTTTGCTGAGTATGGTAGATCTCCACACTGATTTCAGATTGATGAAGACCTGTCTTGCTTTACCAATCCTGGCTTTCAAATTGTCATCTGTGCCGCCGCCGCCGCCTGCAGCTGAAACGATGCTACCTAGATAGGTAGGTGAAAGAGGCAACTTTCCTTAGATTTCTCCCGTTAGTGGTGATTAGTGCTTGTTGCTGTTGGTTGGGTATCTTCAACACCTCTATCTTCTCTACATTCACCTGAAGGAGGTCTCGTCTTCGCTGCCTTGACTTTCCCGCCAACTTGTTGTTTTTCGCCTGTGGATCTTCAAGTTCGTGCACAAGGCATCAGACAGTCATCACCGGCGAAATCCAAATCTTCTAGGGTTTTTTCATCGGTCCAACCAACGTATGCCCACCTTCTCGCTCCTCACAGTTTGTTGCGTCATCCAGTCCAGTCCACCACAACTAGGAATTTAAAGAAAATGCATTCATGACGGTGCTTTGTAAACTGTTCTGTTTGTCATTTTGTTCACATTTCAGAAGAAACTAACCTTGGTTAATATATCAACTCCTAAGTTGACTAAACGCTGATTGTCATGTATGTAATAAACTATTTTCTTTGTAATCGAAGCATTTATTAGAAAGGACGTATGTATTAATGTGATTCAGCATCGGTAGTTTTATTATTCACGTGTTTAAAATGCTGTCGAAACATACTTATGCGATTAAGTTTCCTTTCGATTGTACAAATGCACTCCATAAACTTTAATCCTTGTTTTTTTACACAGTTTTACACAGTAAGAAATGTAGCAAGTTCAGATAACTTCCCTTTTTTATTATATATGATCCCTTTGCAGTTATTCAAACATTCAGTATAACTTACATAAAAGATAATGGAGAGATAGCATCAACTTATTGGTCTTCTGATAGTCAACGAAAACAGAGTTTTTGCTGATAGAGTTTCTTGAAATAATAATTTCCATAAATTAAATAAGGTTTGGAATTTGTTCGTTGGTTCCTAGTAGTGGAATGCAAAACTTACGTCACGTCATCTTTAGGACTCGTCAGTTAAATGTATCTGCAAGCTAGTGAGTGTTATTTTCACTGAAACATGAACCCAGCAACCATCCATTCCAACGCCAAAGCAATATCCACTGGGGCTCCTGGAGCCGATAGTGTAAACAGAGATCGATCAGTTCGATCTAACATAACAACGGAAATTAGAAGTACCAATAAGAAATAATAACTGATCCTCGTTACACAAGAGGTGGCTCTTATAATCCATTGGCCTAATGGGTAATGCTTTGGCGTTAGAAGCGATGAGTGCTGGGCTCAAACATCAATGGGGAAAACATCACATTGCGGTGCAGTTACACCGAGCTGATGGGTCCTAAACGGTACGAAACGCGCATTCTGCAATCAACTGCTAGCCACCAACGAGCAATTTACAACATAATCAACTATCAGGCAATATCAAGGCATCTGTATAGGAGCTGATCGATCAACAGTGGTCGATCCATTCTATCCAGAATAAAAATGGGAAATCACAAGTATCAATAGATGATTCGTTTGTAATTACTGGTCTTACTTCTCATTACAAAATCATAATATACTCTTTTTGATATACATAAATAATTCCGTGTAGCTTACGCATGTAAGGAAATACAAATGATGTGGGTAGTTTGCGGAAACGTTATTTTCTTATTTACAAACAACCAAAGATGAGCAAACTAATAAGAACAGATGAAGAAAAATCAGAGTTTAAGTATTTCAACTCTTTGAAAGAATGATACTAGGTGGTCATGTGCTCAAGATGACAATGTTATACAAGATGTACTTCATTCTCTTAAAGATTTTGTCTACTGTTTATAATTGCATATTATCTTTTTGTACTTCAGGTAGCCTTTGTACAGAAAACTATAATACACATCTTGATAACGCTGTTGAATACAATGATTATGGAACTAATAGTTGTCCAACAATAGGTTTCACAGAAAATGTACTACGTGAAAACCAGAAATATAAATCTGAACCATATATGCAAACTGGTTCAATGAAAAGGGATTTCAGAATTCTTCGAGTTCACCAAAAGAAATGCCAAGATTAGAAAATGAGATTTTGGAGAGGTAATTTATCTTTATTAGTTTGTGGTTATACAATCTAAATGCTTACCTTTATGAACAAGCAAGTTGTCAAGTTTATTTGAAATGTTAACAAAAATACTAATCTGCCAAACTACTACTATTTTAGATAGTCAAATCATAATTAATATGATGCTCCCCCTCTCTGATTCAGTTAGATTTGGATTAAGATGAGAAGTCCTGACTAGGCAGCCAGTGTGAATACGATCAAGCGGGAGTAACGTGTCACGAATTCATATGCTAGTTAGGCGAAACCCATGGTGATTGAAGTGAAATAAAAATGTGGTCAGCAGTCGGACCTCGTAGCTCAGTTAGTAGAGCACCGGGTCGGTAACCCAGTGGTCGATGGTTCGAATCTGGATGTGGCTGAGATTTTCATCTCACCTTCAATCATCACCCAGTATAAATCGTCCTGTTGCATTCCATTTTTCTCCTGAAGTATATTTATTCAGCCTTTTTGTAAACTTCAGGATCAAAATTTGACCTGAGAGAGTTGAATAGGTTAAGCATTGGGTAATTGGATTATAAATGAAATATATTTTGTAAAATCCCAATGAAGTAGAAAAATAAATTTCTGACGTTTCGCGACTTCATGGAAATCGCTTCTTCAGAGAATAAAACCTGTACAAGTTATCGAAGAGTTTAAATGGTAAAAGGTGACGAATCAGATCACATTGTCTATACATGATGATAATATGAACGTGAATGTCATTGTCATGCTGATCAGAAAGCGTTCACAACTTGTTTTTATTTATGAGTTAATTAGTTTGGAAGTCAGGATGATATGAATATGTGTATATGTAACTGGGTGTGAAAAAGTAAATAAATAATATGGATGACAAAATTCGGTTTGTGTATGTACTTTTGATCAGATCATTGTGTGTGGTGTGTTGTTTTTGGTTTTCGGAATACTGTCCATATTGGTTGGATAGTTAGGCCTTCCTTTCTGTTGAGTGCATTAGGATTTAGCATAATGTGAAATGCATCTGCTATTCTTCTTTCTTTGTAGTTTGAAAATCCCTTTTGAATAATTTTAATGTTTTCAATATCGATTTTGTGACTATGATACATGGCGTGGACAGCGATCGCCGACTCGATTTATAGGTTCTCTAGTTCTACAGGATTATTTGGCGGTCGTTTTGTGTAGCTCGCATGTTCTTTAGCCCTAATGAGGATCTCACGGGATTATTCTCCAATATGATAAGCATCACAGTCGACACAGCCTAATTTGTAGACACAATTTTGTGTGGAGGTAAAAGGGACTTTATCTTCTACGTGAACTAGAGCATTCCTTAAAGTATTGCTTGTCTTGTAGAAGGTCTTGATTCGGTGCTTTTTTAAGATTCTTCGGAACCCTTCGGTTGTACCTTGGCGGAATGGTAGAACTATTGTACCAATCCAAGAGTCATCATTTGAATTTACTCTTGGGTCCCACTATTCATATTTTTGGATCTTTTGAATGACGTTTCTAGGGTAGTTGTTGGAATATAATATATCTGATATATTACTTACTTCCGTTGGTAGTAACTTGTACAGGTTTTATTCTCTGAAGAAGCGATTTCCACGAAGTCGCAAAACGCCAGAAATTTATTTTTCTACTTCATTGGGATTTTACAAAATATATTTCATTTATTCAGCCTTTGTTTTAAATTTTGAATTTTTTTTTTAATCATTAACAGGTTGATTCAAAGTCAAATTCAATGCGATAGATTAGCCAGTCAATTGAAAGCTCAAAGCATGGAGTTAATTCAGCCCACAATGGGAAATAAGTCAGTTTATTCCCAGCAGAAAAGACCAAGAGCTATGATAGATGCTGAAAGTGTTTTAAATCATTCTGTAACAGACTATAATGCTAGACCAACTTTTAACACTAATCGGTGTGAAAAACGGTTAGAATAATTTTTTAAAACCCCAACAGTGTTATAACATGGAAAAAAAATGAACTGTGTTGTGCTCTACTTGATAGCCAGCAGTGGAATGCAGGATGCAAGTCTCATCCTTTTTGGGTCTTAGCTGGTTGTACCTGTTCCCCAATGAGTGATGTCGTTGTCTCTGACACTCGAACCAAGTACCCATCGCTTCAAACGTTAGAGCATTATCCACTGGGCCAGTGGGGGTACTGAGTTCAATTCTCAGCAGGATTATCGTCACCCAATTGAGTGTAGGTACATCCAGCTAACACGTCCTAAATAAGACGAAACGTGCGTCCTGGATTCCACTGCTACCATTTAAGTAAAATGAATATTTGGACAGCATTGAACCATCCTCTAAGAAGGCCATCTACCAATAGAGGTCGAATAATTGAACGCAGTATTATTATTATTATTATCAGTCCCTTGAGTTCCTAGTGGAACATAGGGCTTCAGTAGCACGTCTCCAGTGAATTCTGTTCTGTGAAATCTTTTGAACCTGGTTCCACGACAGCCCAGAAGCTCTCATTTCCTCCTCGCACGACCTCCTCCATGTCACCCTCGGACGTCCAGCTCGTCTCTTCCCATGGGGATTCCACTCGAGGGCCTGACGCGTGATGTCCTCAGTCGGCCTTCTCAGTGCATGGCCAATCCATCTCCACTTCCTCCTGCATATTTGTTGCGTGATAGGTTCTTGGTTGGTTCGTTCCCAGACCTCCTTGTTGCTTATTCTCACTATTCTGGCCATCTGATCTGCAGTACCGAGCGTAAGCAGTTATTGATGAATGTCTGTAGTTTATTGGAAATCCCTTTCGTGACGCGCCAAGTCTCTGATCCATACAGAAGCACTGACTTGACGTTGGTGTTGAAAATCCGTATCTTGTTCCACATGCTGAGTGTAGAAGATCTCCACACTGGTTTCAGGCTAATGAACACCTGTCTTGCTTTTCCGATTCTGACTTTGACATACTCGTCTGTGCCTGTGGCGCCTGTAGTTGAAACAGTGCTTCCTAGATAAGTGAAGGAGGTTGCTTCCTTCAAGTTTCTCCCGTTCATGGTGACTGGAGTTTGTTGTTGTTGTTGATGGTGCGGTGTCTTCATCACATCTGTCTTCTCTATATTCACCTGAAGTCCCGTCTTCGCTGCTCTGCCTCTTCCATCAACTTGTTAGTTTTGCCTGTAGATCTTCAAGTTTATGTGACATCAGGCACAAGTCATCGGCGAAATCCAAATCTTCTAGGTTCTTTTCCGCAGTCCGGCGTATCCCCCTTTTCTCGCTGCCTACTGTTTGCTGCATGATCCAGTCCACCACAATAAGGAATATCATGGGGGATAGTAGGCAACCTTGTTTCAATCCTGTCTTCACTTCAAAAGCGTCACTGAGCTTCCCATTGTGAATTACTTGGCCGGCATGTGGCATCTTCATATAGTTATTGAATGAGGCTGATAAAGGTTTGCGGTACTCCGTAGTAGTGAAGCAGTTTCCAAATTACTTCTCGGTCGACGCTGTCAAAGGCCTTCTCAAAGTCGATAAAGTTGAGGTAGAGAGTTGACTGCTATTCTATACTCTGTACTATGATGATGCGTAGTGTGGCGTTGCAATTGGTCCACACATGATTTGTACTTCCTGAAGCCTGCCTGTTCGGGTCGTAGTTTTGAATCCAGTGCATTTTTAAGCCTCTCCAGGATGATGCGGCTTAATATTTTGCTTGCTTTGGATGGACAGGATCATGATTCCACGCCAGTTCTTGCAAACACTGAGGTCTCCTTTCTTCGGCAGTTTGACAAGGTAACCCTCCTTCCAATCAATGGGCAGGTACCTTCCCTTCCTTCCACACCTTCTGCAATAGTGGTGTGAGCATGTCCTCTGTTGTCTCTTGAACGCAGTATATTAACAGGAAATTAAAAGTACCCAAAGACAGCAGTAAAAATGAATTTACTTTTATGTAAGTTCGTATGCACACTATCGTCCATCTGTAAATGAGTAAGCTTTTGATTGAAGAGCATACAAAAACTGTAGCCAAATAATAAAATTAATAAAGAAGGTTATATGAAAGCACATTTTATCCTACAGAAAATCATATGATACCTAGAATTTATAAATCAACGGTTGATAATAGCGTACACTATTCCTATTTTTAAATTCATTTAATTTGATAGGCTTTATGTTATGATATTAAATATCTCGAGTTTGATAGTTAATGACATCTTAAACAGTCATATTGCCTTTCAACAATCATTTTCCAGAAGATGTTATTGGACTCGTGTCAAATTGCTGAATCAAAATGATCATATCCGAATCGAAGAATTGACTTTCACGCTAAGCTAGTTAATCTAATCCTTTTGAAACGCTTAGTTTTACGGTTAAGATAATGTTGTTTGAGAGGATCAAAGTTCAAGCTTATTTTCGTTGATTGTAATTAATTAAATGGCTGTTGACCATCATAGTATCGGTAACTAACTATTCATTATTTGTAGGTTAGATGATAATTATCTTGACTGATTCATATTTCATTCAGTTTAAATCCTGAATAGTCACTGGTTGATTATATTGTATCATAGTCCTTAATATTAAAATAAAGCTACCGGCTATAGAAAAGGCTGTCGCACAAAGCACATATTTCTGAACAAGAATTATTTGAATGAACAATTGTTTTCAATAACTTCTTGAAGCTCTATGAGAATAAGTGAAATACAATAGACGAAATAAGGCATGATGTACAATTTTACTATATTTGAGACAGTCAGTGTTATGGGTGAATGGAGATCAAATCGATTGGAATGGTGGAACTGTTGTCAGTCTTGTGTGTTGGTTGTGCAATGAAATCATTATTGACAAATGATGATTCTGAGGGAGTTGTGGAGATTTGGAAATATTTCAAGTTGTTATTCATCGAAGACTGACATCACATTGGAGGAACAAAGGAAACCTGGGAACACTGGACAGCTGTTTCGTCCTAGTACGGGACTCCTCAGCAGTGCGCACCCACGACCCCACACCAGCAGGGATCGAACCCGCGACCTTCAGGTTCCGCGGCCAGCGCGTTACCATTAAGCCACTGGGTCAGAATCCCCCAACTGATGTCAGTCTTCGATGAATAACAACTTGAAATATTTCCAAATCTCCACAACTCCCTCAAAATTTAATTGAACTGGTGCGCATTGGTGACTAGCTTCGAGAAGTATTCCCGAAGTTCCAATGAGAAGTCGTGACCGGTGGAGTCAAAACCTGATGGCCGTGAGGATAGATACTCAACGATGACATTGGGTAGCGGTCGCGCTATATCGTGAGCTAACAGAAGTTGGAAATATGGAGCATTGTGTTCTGACCCAGTGGCTTAATGGTAACGCGCTGGCCGCGGAACCTGAAGGTCGCGGGTTCGATCCCTGCTGGTGGGGTCGTGGGTGCACACTGCTGAGGAGTCCCATACTAGGACGAAACAGCTGTCCAGTGCTCCCAGGTTTCCTTTGTTCCTCCAACTGGTGTCAGTCTTCGATGAATAGCAACTTGAGATGATGATTCATTTATATGCATTAATTGGGGCATGAATGTGTGTGTATGTGTGTTTGTTTACCAAGGTCGAATAGTAATTATGTAGTGATGAGTTATATTCAGGTGGGATAAAAATCATGTGCATACTATAACGAAATAGAGAATAACAAGTGTGAAGTATTACGTCACGGTTGAAAATAATAGTGATCATAAAAATCATTCTCATTTTAACTATCTGAGATAGCTGTGATTTGTCAGACTTGTATTGCTACCGAGTGATGTCGAAGGTGAAATAAATTTTTGACTGTGGTGGGGTTCGAACTAGAGGACACCGGGTTGGTGGTTCGAATCCCACCGCAGTCTAAATTTTCATTTATCTTCCAATCATCACCCAGTATCAATAGAAAAAAATATAATAATAGTAAATAAAAACAAAAAATATTGATTGATCAGTCCAGCTGCATCCAATCAATAATGCGCAACAACAATTCATCACATCAAAGTTTATCCATTGCACAAGAAATGACTAACATTATTCATTCGCCTATTAGAGCGAAGGATGTGAGAATATAATCTCAAGGGGAATAAAAAACACTGAAAAAGTGTACACACAGATGAAAAGTTCTAAATAAGACAAAATGGACATTCTGGATTCCATCTATAGTCACTATTCATCCTCAATAAACTATTCTGTTAAAACTTTTGACACGATACTAAAAGAAAAAAACAAATTCTTTTTCCATGAAACAGTGTTAGTATTTGTACGAACTAATTTTTGTTTGGTTACTGGCATTTACACTCATTATTCAACCTGCTAATGCCAACAGGAATAAGTTCTCGTTAAAGTGATCAGAAATGGAACTTATCGTTATTTTGTTAGGGTTCAGCTATGAATGGTTTTAAGAGTAAGTAGATTTAAGTTAGCATCTTCGTCAACATGTACAGTCTAAGTTCTCTTTACGACAAGATTCCCTCATTTATACCGCAGTCTAGATAAATGTTTCAAACCTAAAAGGTCCTGCTTTCTGACACAAAAAAGGAAAACAAAAAGGAAAGGACTCATTCTAATCTGTATATTATAATGCTGCAGTTGTAATTTAGGGCTAAACAGTTACATCATTTACCCACTAGTGAGTAGTTCGTGTAAAACTAAGTTTATCTCTCACTTTTCACAGGTCTTTTCTCCTTAATTGTTAAAGTATTTAGTGACTAATACATTCTTACATAGAAATACGCATACTATTTTGTGTAAGACATTTATGCCTGTGATATGATATTGAGTTCAAAGTCATTGTGAACGTTAATATTTCCATTTACTTTAGTTGTTTTAATGGAGGTGAGAATGGATTTCAAAGAAGTGACAATTTTTGTGATAATTCAATGGCATATACTTATGGCAAAGATGCTGTTGACTTTTCAAATGGTCAAATTTATACTCCTAATCCAACAGATCGTCTACAAAGTTGGCTATCTCCACTGGTTAGTCGATACAATGACTTATTTACAAATCTACGCGTGGACTGTATGAAGCGTTTGCAATCATTTGGGCAAACAGACTGTGAACGTAATCAACGTTTAATTTTTCATGCTGTTCAAGTGAGTTATCAGCAATAAGAGGGATGTTGTATACGTATGCAAGGAATATGATTTATTTATTTACACTTTTTGCAATGAAAACGAAGTATATGTTCATGGGCGTTTTATGAAGTATCAATTACAAATTATCAACCACCTGACGGTTGATTTATTCGTCTTATAACTTTCTGTTGTGCCGGAAAGATAATTCAACGTTTATTACAGTGTGTTTGCCTTTTTTACCCAAATTGTTTTCAGAATTGATGTGGCTTCTAAACCCAATAAAATCTTGATGTGAGTTTTTTCATACGTCGGTAATCTAACTAAAGAATCATACCCTACTGAAAGTTCTTACTAGTGATATTGAAAGCTTCTTTACACCTGGGTAGTTGGACACATACAGAAACCACTATATATTCTAAGAACTGATAAACATGTTGGATCATCCTAGTACACTTTGGTGGTCAGTTTAAGAAGTGTAGGAATGTGCATGTTTTCAGGCAATGTCTCTGAGGTATTGAAAGTCCATTAGTTGGAGATTTGAGGATGGAGCTAGTAAATGGTTTTAATGACATGACCTTTTCACTTACTTTCTTCACATAATCTTTGGAAGTCCCATTGATCTGCAGCTGCTTTTTGTAAACTCACTCATTCTTTCTTGGATCTATGTTAGAACTTTCGATCATCAGTTGATTTCCTTTTGGCGTAAACTTCTTAGAAGTGTGACACATAGAACCAAGGAAATATCGAACCAGAATGTTGGATATTTTATCTCCAGACTTTATTTTTTATGATAAAAATAGTCACTTAAAAGTCTAATATTTACGTGAATCAGTCCTACTGACAATGAAAAAGCATCCTGCTGTATTTATAGAAGGCAGCAATGAACAGTATGCTAACAAATCTTGGCAACCATTTACAGGTTCACATATCGATGTGTAAGTAATACATGCTACGTGATGGCGAATACTACTATCAGATCACTTGAAACGGATCCATGACCTGTTGGTTGAAAGTCAACTACTTAGATCAATGAACCACAGCTATGCTTCTTAAACAGTTAATTCTGTCCTTCTTTCTTGATGACTCAGTTGGATATAAGGAATTACAAGAATGGTACAGCTGAGTTTTTACTGAGCATTTTAAAAACTTCATCATTATTATAAATAATGACATTGTATTTCCTTCAAGAAACTAGTTGATAAGATGTCATTTGGAACTTTTGACTTCTGTTGTTTGCTCTAGTTAGTTTTCGTCATTTCATATTCTATCATAGAAAGAACATAATGTGCACAAACTAGAAAGTTCACTTCACAGTACTATTCCGAATAACACTGGTTCGACTAAAAATGCTATTGAGAAAAGTGAACACTGTGTAGATAAATATAAAAATTAACACGTTGCAGTTTATGGTGTCTTGATTTTAATTCCTTTAAATACTTATATGGGGCTCTTAGCAAGGTTACTTTCTGTCATATAACTTTCCAGGAATTTTTCGCCGCTATTATGTTTTTTTTTTATTCCCGAGAAAACAAGGAAAAATTATTCGAAAAATCAATTTTTGGTTATATCATTTGCTTGACTATTTACTTAAAATTGGGTGTGGAATAGTAAAAAAAAAAGGGTTTAGTTTTTCTGTTTAAAAATATGAAGATAGAATTAGAACAGTGAAATAATGATTGAATGAATCGTTCTTTTTGTATGTCGTCATTCTATTCATCGAAAGTGAACAACATATTGAAGAGAATAAGAGTAAATGTAGTTAACCTTAAAACAATAAGGCACGCCTGTTTTTTTTAATACCATATCACCTATGGACATTGTATAACTTTGGTGATAACTATTTCAGCTGAAACGAATAAAACTGCAGCCAGACATACTAGCAAGGACTTTTCTAATATCCTCATCATCGGTGGCTTAACATCTGAAAAGTTATTTTGATTTGAACAATACTCGTACAGTTTGTAAATAGCCTAGAAATTAACCATTCAAGAACAGTCTTAGACTGAAGTCAAATTCTAATAAAATTGATGGATAGTGGTTAGCAGTGGGATCCAGGAGATGCGTTTCGTCGTGTTTGAAACTCACCAGGCAGCATGTCTTTACCCCAGTGAGTGATGTTGTTTTCGGTAAGACTGGAACCCAAGACCGACCGCTTCAAAAGCCATGGTGTGATCTACTAGGCCACTGAGTCATGATAACCACTCCTTATGTGACGATTGCAGTATCCCTTTGATGCTGTATCTTGTGAATCTTCATTGTTCGTTGAACTTGTTCGACTGAAAACTATGCAGTAGTCATCGAACAATGAGTGACTATAGTGACCCAGTAGCCTAGTGGATAACATTACGATTTGAAGCTCGGGTTCGGATCTTAGTGGGAGCAGCATCGCCCATTGAGAGGCAAGTGGATCCAGCTGATGGGTCCTAAATAGGAAAGACGTACGTCTTAGATTCCACTGCTAGGCAATATCTGTCATTAATATCAAAGGTGGAATGACAAGCAACACCGAGACATGCGCACAGAAGCTCATATGCCAAAATAGGCCGATCAATTCGGTCCAATCTATGACGGAAATTCACGAGATATAACATGAAGGGAAATTAGCCTAAATGATACTGTGAGGTAAAGAATTTTTTAAAGATAATTACATATCACTAGCTGGTAGGTATTTTTATCTATTTTTTATTATCAAAGAGCCAGATGTTCAGTAATATATTTCTTTGCAACAGAAGTCTAGCAGAAAACGTTATTTTGATAAAAGTTGATGCTCTTGTCAATAGGATATTAACAGGTGGTATTTTTATTATTCATATTAAAAAGTTCTATTCGACTCGAAACAGTTGCAGTACTTTGGCCAACTGTTCGTAACTAAAAAACTTAAATCGATTAACTGTTTGTTAAGTTGGATGAGCTGTATCTCATACAGAGTTAATGAACATGGCATCAAAGAGGGAAAATGGTGGTTTAGAGTGTATATAATACCCGTATGGTTGACATGTAGTCCTGATTGTTGGGTTCATTTGTTCTTATATATAACAGTAGCGTATACTGTACAGTTAGAGTGACAGATAAAACCAATGTAGAACCTCCCACGCAACTATATCGCTTCGAATTGCCAGACTTCACAGTAGTATATAAAGAACAGGTCGATGGAAAAAGAATGATATCAGAGTAGACGATGTTTGAAAGGAGAAACAATCTGAAGACAAAGGGTAGTGCGAATATTCAAGTTTCAGATGAAGTCAGAGACTGAATAAATCTGTGCCATTATGACTGACTTTTAGCCATGTCACTAAAAGTTCTCAACCACTGATTTCTATGGCCTATGGAACCGCAGACCAGCACTTTACATCTTCCCATATAGCTCAGACCAACAGTCAAGGACTTCATGGACTAGTGCTACGGCTTGATCTGGCCAACCTATAAACCCTCTTCCAACATTATCCAGCTTCCTCTAGCTTGGCACATAGGGGTAGGTGATGGCTAGGTACGTGCAGTACATGTCCAAGCCATTTCAGTCGATTAAGCTTGAAAACATCATTGACTGATTTGTCTTTCTTGCCTAGTACACTTCACCTGACCTCTAAATTGCCTACATCAAATGCGAGCAATCCTTTCACGACATCTATGATCAATACCATGTAAACGCTTCATATCTATTTTTAACGACTGTCTTACAGCCGGACTACAGCGTAGTCTGTAATCCATATTTATTTTTACTTGCAATAATCTCATACTGAATATTTTTTTATATTAACAAATTCATTAGAAGGAAATTTTAGTTTCTCAATTCGGAAGTTTATGGGAATTCATTGATTTCAAGTTGGTATTCATTGTAGATTGACATCAGCTGGAGAATCATTGAAAACTAGGAAACATTGGATAAAAGTTGAGAAATGTAGACCTAGGGTTTTAATAACAAAATGGAATGATAAGTGAGCACTGTTGAGAAGTCCCATACTAGGATGAAACAACTGTCCAGCTCTTTAAGATTTTCAATTATTTTTCAACCGATGTTAGTCTGTGATGCACACTAGCTCGACTTCTCAGTTTGTGATATAATTATTTCACTGTTAGTAGCGTGTTAACTGGCACAATCTCCTAGATATAGACGAACACCCTAACATAATTTAATTCAGAACATAATATAAATAAAAACACAAGAGTTAATTAGGCTAATCATTTGTTGAATATGCCAAACTGAAGTCATCAGAGTGATAAAAGCTGATATTGTGATATGTGTCTGCGTGGAATACTTTACTTTGCATAAATAACTATGCAACGAATCATAAGAGTAAGACCGTGAAGGTAATTCATAGAATGGATATTTATGCAAAGTAAAATATTCAAGGCGAATTCACCCTACAACATTATCTTTTAACACTCTAATCTAGCTAGCTATACATTGATAGTTTTAAATCGTTTGTTTTGAATAAATTGCTTCACTGTTGAACAAAGCAACTTAACACTTAATTCGCTTTAACAGATTATTAATTTTGATTCTTTGTCAAATTTTGCTGATGATAGTTTTCTTTTATATTCTTACTCAACGATTTCTCGAAATACCTAAAATAAGCACTTTACAGTGAAGTTAGTAGTCTATGCATAAATGTATGAAATAAATAATTTACTACTGAAGTTATTCTGGATAATAATAGTTTGACTAATATATTTATATCTACTTTTAGTCATGTTTCATCGTCACTGGCCATGTGATTCGTCGTCTTTTAACAAGTATGCAAAGTACAAACGGTATGACTAAACAGTTTGGAGAAAAGCAATTTTCTTTGATTGAGACACCACTTAATACTGATCAATTGGAAAAACTTGTAGCTGCAACGTGTAGACGACTTTCACGTCATCCTCCACCAGAGTGTGCATGTCATATTTCTATCAGTGGAACAAAAGGAACAAGCGTAAGACGACCTGTTTCAGTGAGACGACCAGTTACACCTCAGGAGTTGTCTTCACTGAGGGATCTGTTAAGAGAAGTTTGCTGTCTTGCATGGTACTTATTAGCTGAGCATCACGATTTGCAGTTGTCAGCTGAAGCAAACGGTGTCTATCGTGTTTGGTATGTAGATGTGGACAAATCTGCTAAACCGGGAGATGCATATGATGATGAAAGGTATGTGATCTGATAAAACTATCTGATAGCAGAAGATTTTCTACTTAGTAAATGGATATACAAACGCTTTTGTTCTATTTGTACTAACTTTCTATTACTGGTGTTTTGTTTTCATCTTTTTCCTACAAAGTTATCGAAGAAGTTACGATTCAGACGCATCTGCTGGTCAAGTGCATCATTACATTTGGCCGTGCTTGATGTTATTCACTAAGGAATCATCTCCAAGTCGGGAGCAGCAACAGCAGCTTCAGTTTCACCAGACAAATACGAGCAATGCTAACAAACTAATCAAAGCCTGTGTCTTAGTGAAAGGAGAAGCTTGTACACGTAATCCTATAAGTTCAGCATCCCAGATCGACAAAGCTGCTGCACTTTTAAACCATGAATATTGCTGTCATTCGGGTTACGGAAGTAAATCCCCGAACAGATGGCCTAGATCAAGATCAACTTCCGTTCGGAGAATTAAATAGAGAAAAGGCTTTTCAAAGTAATATGTCAGTTATGTTCTCCTCCTGATTATGATACTATGTATAATTGTTGTTTGAAAGTTTATAGCTTTATTATACTAAAATGCTTGACAGGATTGTTGATATATTTCGTGAAATTTCTTCACTGCAGTGCACCTGTCTTTAGGATCCACTAAAGATCAGACCATATCAATTATTTTGTCTTCTGTTTACCAAAGTGATTATTTTACACTATATGCATGCATATTTTGGCGCTAACTTAGTATGAATTTCTATCTTTTGATGTCAAATAGAAACATTTAATCGCATTAAGCAGGGCAATTTTAAAAGGCTACCCTAGCAATGACCGAAACAACCAATTTCATTTCGGCTGGAAAGACAAACCTTCATGAAATAAAGAAGTGTGATTGATCATTCCATTTGTTGCTAGGGTGGTGTTTAGAGTCGCTCCTTTAGCTACTTACCTCAAGTAACTCTAAAGAGTGACTTTAAAGGACATCCTGGCAACAGCTAAAATGACCAATCAAGCTTTGTCACTTTGGCTGGTAAAGTATTTCCATAACATAATGTAATTGGCTGTCAATCCATCAGTTGCTAGGGTGGCCTTTAAATCCGTCTGACTCCAAAGTCCACCCTAGCAACAAGTGAAATAACCAATTAAATTTCTAGATGACATGGGAAACGGCCTTCTCAATCAAAATATTGAAACTTGATTGGTTATTCTGTCAGTTGCTAGGGTGGCCTTTAAAGTCACCCTTTAAAAGATGAATCTAAAGGCCATTTTATCAACAAGTGAAACAATCATATGTACTCCGCTTCTTATTCAAAATATGCCTTTATAACCAAAATGCAGAAACGTAATTGGTTATTTATGTCGTTGCTAGGGTGACCATTTAAATTAAGTCTTTAGTTTTTCGTTACTTCTATCCTGATTCAAATATTTTCTAACATTCGTTCTTGCTTACTGTGCTAAGAAGAGGTGTAGCAGTTAGTGCCAGGTACAATGCTGACATTGTCTTTCTCTAACATTCAGAATACGAGCTTCCCCAAAATACGAGCTACTGTGATAAAACAACAACCAATCAGATTATTCATTTTTAAACAGAGGTATATCAATGTCCTAGTTTGTCACTCAATCCAAGAAATTTTTGATAATGCTTTTGCTTGAATTCACTAATAAATCAAATGAAAAACTTTCTTTATTTCAATTTTGATAAGTTGACATGATACCATAAGCAGTTGGACTTTTTAAGACTTATTAAACTATTTCCTCATCGCTTATGTATATCTTCCGCATAAATTGTCATTTAAAACTGCATTGTTTCAATGGAATCCATGATATTTCATACAACTGAGAGTTCATCACTTGCTTTATCTTTATTTTCACAATAACCACAATTAAAGCTATAATAAAACAGTTAACTACTATCATGTAACTTCGTAAGCAGAGTTTTATAATATCCCAGATACATTTCACATTAAATAAACAAGTTAAATTATTTATTATGCTCGTTAAAATCATATGAATCATGCGTGAAATCTGTAACTGTGGTTACAAGGTGATAAGAAAAGATATACAATAACATCATCAACAAGAACAAGGTAAGTATCAGCGAAGAACAAATATTTCCCTTCAATGACTTCATTATCAAGCTGTACAGTCGTATTTATACTGAGTAAAGTGACAGATAATTACACTAAAAAGTTGCTCAGTCAATATGCAAACTATACAATCGGTGGAGGGGTGGTGGTATTTGTTCAAGTGGAAGAGATAGAAAATGGGTCACTGAATAAGGAGGAACGAATTGATAACAAGTGATGAGAAAAGCGACAAGTGTTGTCAAAGAATTGTAAAACGGTGATTTCATCCTTTAAAATAATTTACAACATTAAACTATTATTATATTATTATTAGTCCCTTGGGTTCCTTATGGAACATAGGGCTTCAGTAGCACGTCTCCACTCCACTCTCTTCTCTGAAATCTTTTGAACCTGGCTTCACGACAGCCCACAAGCTCTCATTTCCTCCTCACACGATCTCCTCCATGTCACCCTCACCTCGGACGTCCAACTCGCCGTTTCCCATCTAGGTTCCACTCGACAACCTGGCCTGACGCATGATGTCTCCAGCCGGCTCTCTCAGTGTATGCCCAATCCAATCCATCTCCACTTCCTTCCACTGCATATTTGTTGAGTGATAGGTTCTTGGTTGGTTCTTCGCCAGAGCTCTTTGTTGCCTATTCTCATTATTCTGGCCATCTGAACTTCAGTAACGAGCCAGCGTAGGTGGCAGTTGTTGATAAATGTCTGTAGTTTTTTGGAAATCCCTTTCGTAACGCGCCAAGTCTCTGGACGATACAGAAGCACTGACTTGACATGACATGACATTGGTGTTGAAAATCCGGATGTTGTTCATGCTTTATGCTGACTGCAGAAGATCTCCACACTGGTTTCAGGTTAATGAACACCTGTCTTGCTTTTCCGATTCTGACTTTGACATCCTCGTCTGTGCCTGTGCCGCCTGTAGTTGAAACAGTGCTGCCTAGATAGGTGAAGGAGGTTACTTACTTTAAGTTTCTCCTGTTCATAGTGATTGGAGCTTGTTGTTGGAGTTGTTGATGCGGTTTCTTCATCAACCCCGTCTTCTCTATAATCACTTGAATGTTGTCCCGTCTTCGCTGCCTCGCTTCTTCTGTCAACTTGTTAGTTTTCACCTGTAGATCTTCAAGTTTGTGTGACATCAGGCACAAGTCATCGGCGAAATCCAGGTCTTCTGGGTTCTTTTCCGCAGTCCAGCCAGTGTATCCCCCTCTTCTCGCTGCCCACTGTTTGCTGCATGATGCGATCCAGTCGATCACAATCAGGAATATCATGGGGGATAGTAGGCAACCCTGTTTCAATCCTGTCTTCACTTCGCTTTAAAGGCATCACTGAGCTTCCTATTGTGAATTACTTGTCATGTGGCATCTTCATATAGTTGTTGAATGAGGTGGATAAAGGTTTGCGGTATTCCGTAGTATTGAAGCAGTTTCCAAATTACCTCTCGGTCGACGCTGTCAAAGGTCTTCTCAAAGTCGATAAAGTTGAGGTAGAGAGTTGACTGCTATTCTATACTCTGTTCTATGATGATGCGTAGTGTAGCGTTGCAATTTGGTCCACACATGATTTGTACTTCCTGATGCCAGCCAGCCTGCCTGCCTGCTCGGGTAGTAGTTTTGAAACTAGCGCATCCTTTAGCCTCTCCAGGATGATGCGGCTTAATATTTTGCTTGTTTTGGATGGACAGGAGAGTGATTCCTAGCCAGTTCTTGCAAACACTGAGGTCTCCTTTCTTCTGCAGTTTCACAAGGTAACCCTTCTTCCAATCAATGGGCAGGTACCTTCCCTTCCTTCCACACCTTCGGCAGTAGTGGTGTGGTGTGAGCATGTCCGCTGCTGTCTCTGCATCTGTTTTCAGTGCTTCTGGCGGGATTCCATCTGGTCCTGCTGCTTTCCCACATTTCAGTGTCTTTATGGCGTTCAGGACTTCCACCTTTTTGTTGGAGGATTTATGTTCACTTGTATTTCTGTGGCTGGGCTGCAGGTGGTATTTCTGGACGAAGTGCAGGTGATGGTGGTGATGTTGGTCGATTCAAGAGCTTCTTGAAGTGGTCGGCCTATTGTTTCCTCTGTTCCTCTTCTTCCGTAATTAAATTTCCGTCATCACTTTTTATTGGCTTCGTTTGCGTTGATCACTTCTCTACCAGATAGCAACCTGGTTATTTGATACAATGTTGTCAGGTCTCTCTCTGTCTCTCCTACCTGCAGCCTGTCTGTTCTGTTTCACTTGCCAGTGTTTCGTAGAAGTGTCTTTTGTCTTTCCTTGGCACTCTTCTTCACTTCTTTGTCCAGTGTTTTATACATTGTACTCAGTTCCTCATGTCGTTGGCATCCTTGCACTGGTTTATCTTCTGCTTCACCATCCTCCTCTCCCTGCTCTATCAACTTCCATGTATCCGTCGAGATCCATTCCTTATCTTCTTTCTTCTTCGTTCCTAATACTGCTGTGCAGGTTTCTTTCCAGATAGATTTCAAAGACTTCCAGTGTTCTTCCACACAGGTTTCTTAAGGTATGTTCCTCGATATCTCCCATTTTGTCTTGATGGCTGACTAACGTGAAGATTTCCTTTGTAGTTTCGTCCCTCAGTTCCCGAGTGTTGTACTTGAACTGAGGTCTATCACCAGCTTGCTTGAAGGGTTTTAACTTGATTCGGAAGGTTCCTTGCACTATGTAGTGGTGTGAACCTACATCTGCTACTCTTCTTGACCTTGTGTCAAGTAGACTGCGTCTCCACTTCATTCGCATTGAGATGAAGTCGATCTGACTTTTAGTGTGTCCATCTGGTGAAATCCATGTTGCTCACTTTGTGGATATCCTTGTGCTTGAACACACTACCTGACTCAAATCACCAAATCGTTGGATGCATAGAATTCTGCAAACAATTCTCCATTCTGGTTCATCATATCACCGAGCGCTTGTCGACCCATGGTTAGTTCTCTTCCTGTGTTGTCTGCTCCCATTTCGGCATTCATGTCGCCCATTAGAATTTTGATGTCGCCAACTGAGATGGGGTCTTGTCCAGTGTTGATTGCAGTTGTCTGTAGAATTCCTCCTTTTTCTCTTGCTGTGCATTATTTGTAGGTGCATAGCATTGTATGATTGTGACCTTCCTTCCTTCCTTTTGAGTTGAACTTTGCTGTCATGATCCTGCAGGGGGAGATTGGTTCCCACTGCATGAGAGAGAGCCTGCGATGCTGTTAGGGACATCATGATAGCCACTCCAAGACTCAGTGTGCTCGTGGTTGTCGTCTGGGTGACAATATTTGAGTAGATTATTGATTCTCCAGTTGACAGTTTGGAGAGTCCACTTTCATTCCATCTGTTTTCGCAAATTTCAAGCACTTCGATGTGATACCTCTTCATCTCGTTTGCAATCTGGGCTGCCTTGCTGGGTTCAAACATGGTGCGGACATTCCATGT